TCCTAAAGCTGTTGTTAACTTCATGCGATAATTCTACCGCTAAGTGTTCAGTAACAAATGATGGTTTACGTTGCTGCTTTTCAGGTTGGTCATACGGTACTGGTCTATGAAAGAAATAATCGTGTCGGTGGTCTACTGCAGTATGGTATCCCTTCTATGAAACTGAGTAAAAAGGTAAAGCGATTCTTGAAACAGAAAATGTCTCTGTTGTGCTGTCTCCTAATGAGCTTTCCATTTCCAGGTCATCGGGCGGCGTGTCACACTGATGGAGCAGGAGGGTGTCAGGTTTGTGACCGATGTCGAAGTCGGCAAGGACATATCTGCAAAGCTGCTCATGCAGGAGAATGACGCTGTGCTGCTGGCCATTGGCAGCACAAGACCGCGTGATCTACCGATTCCCGGTGAGTTGGGTTACCAGCAGACATTTGGCTTGTTATGCAACAATACCGTCGTGTAAAGCGCGATGAAGACATCATCACACGTACTTGGAAATTTTTACATATGCTTAGTCATATTTCTTATCTCTACTCCATTCCGTTAAGTTTCATTGACCGATAGTCATTAGCGTTGCAGAGCATCGATATCAGGAATTTTTCTCTGTCGCGCTCGTACTTCGTTCTGGCAAGAAATATGTACTGGGGGTATGTCTCTATCAGGCAGTTCCTGGCATCTCTTAAAACTTCACCTAGTGGAACCTTAATTCGATGAAACTCAGGACTAATATTCTTGAGTTCTTTGCATCGAACACCGAGAAATTCGTTCATTCTTTCAGTCTTCCTAAAAGCCCTCTCTCTGTGTAGTGGTAGCTGATTACGGTAGTTTTTTACATGGTTCCCGTCTGCTGCTAATCGATCATGCTCTGTAATTTTAATCCTTTGGAGTGCCAGCTTTGTTAAATAATCGAGTCATGTGGTCTGCCGCCTGCCCATGGGCCGTTTACCCTGTGGCTTTGCTAAGGAAACGTTTCTGGAGTGCATCTCTAATCCTCATCGCATGTCCAAACCCTCGCACCTATGATCTCTCAACATACAGAAGTAACTGTCAGGACGCAGTGTTAGCAACTATAGGAACATACAGAAGCGTTTCATCTTCGGTAGATACCCTCAGTCTGAAGTCGTGTGTGTCGAGACTCTTTCCCGTATTCATTCCTGCCGTCCATGGAAGCTTCAAGCAGTCGATTGTGCAAGTAGTAGTGGTTTCGTCTTCCTTTCCGTCAACATTCAAAAAAACAGGCTTAAACCTGTTCCTAGTTGTGACTTCTCAGTCTGAAAAAGTACCACGGATCTTTCATTCCGTTTTGAGCCGCGTGATTCATTGGTTCTATCAGATCATGAACACCGGCCAGAGCACGTGGCACTTAGTCGACACCTGAATAGAATCGCCTCCACTTTCTGAGGTAGAGATTTAGGCTCTAGCACTTCGTTGATGAGAATCGAACCATGTCCAGTCGGTACCTTGCGTCCTGATCAGCTAGTTCCTGCTCTTTCCCTCTGAGTTGGGATATGTTCCAGTTAGGATTATGAACTCCCTTCGTTGATGAGAATCCAGCCATGCCCAGTCGATACCTTGCGTCCTGATCAGCTAGTTCCTGCTCTTTCCCTCTGAGTTGGGATATGTTCCGGTTAGGATTATGAACTCCCGCTGTTGATATTGTTTCCGTAGAACTTTATCTGACGTTCTGTAATGGTTCACTGCCCAAGGTATCTCGAATTGCATTTTCAGAATTTATCGAGGGTCGTCACTCCGAAAAAGTTTTCTTCTGCTGCTGCAGTTCGTGATCATACTCTTTCGATTGGTATCCAGCAGTTTTGACCACAGTTAAGTTTTATTGCTACGTAGAATTGACAAGATCTGCAGTTTAGATCTTTTCTCATCGATTAAGACTGGTTTTTGCTTCCGGATTTCGGCGCTCGCGTAACCGACCCATTAATCTATTTCAGTGTTCTTTTTGCCATCATTCCGTACAAAATAAATTTCAAAATTACGCCATTTGTTCGCTAAAGCAATCTGACTGTCATTTCGAACTGTTGCTTTTTACATGTCACTGCGTAAACATGAAATCCGGCATATATTAATTGCGTATTACTCCTCTAATGCCAAATTTCTGACACTGAACATGCTTAAATGCCTTGGAACTGTGACTTGGCAACTAGAACAGTAAGTGGTACAATGTTACATGAAATCTTGGTATGAATGAGTTATATTATGCAATATATAAGGATTTACTTTCCATGATTTTTTATTCAGGCAGAGAGTTAAAAGGCATACATTTTGCGATGGAGTTTCTTGAAACGTTTCAAAAGTTCCAAGGCGGTTATTACAAAGAGTTTGACGAGGTTTCGGCCAAAGACCGAGCGGTGGTCATTGTTGGAGGCGGCGACACCGCCACTGACTGCTTAAGTACTGCGCTCCGACAGGTAATAAATGATTATTCTCATCTTTTCTTGAAATGATTAATTTTTATTATCAGAAATATTATTTAAAGTTTAATCTTCTCTTAAAGGGAGCCAAAAGCGTGTTAATGTTCGAAATTCTTCCGCTTCCGCCCCAGCAGCGATCAGAACAGAATCCGTGGCCTGAGTGGCCTGTGGTCTTTCGGATCGATTACGGTCACGACGAGTTCAAGACGCTATACAAAAAGGATCCAAGAGTTTTTGCCACCTCTGCCAAGGTAAGAGATTTGCGGAAGATGAATATGACCGTCCGTATCTGAGGAAGTGGTTGTTAGTTTTCAATGAAATATCACTGCCTTCTAAGTTGACATCTTTTTAGCGTTTACACGTGTCGATTTTTTCAGTGGCACGTAGGTAAAAACGATGCTCTATGTGAAGAAGTTTGTATAAGCGTGTACAAACTGGAATTTCACAATTCATTGACCAGTTAGTCAATTCAGATGACTGCTCATCCTTTCAGATGACGCTGCCGACAGTGCCTACAATGTTCCCGACTTCTGAGTTTAAATCTATGCTGCGGCTGAAAAACGTTTGAGTCTGAAGCACAGTCCCAGCGAGGTAGTTGCCCACGTCATTCTTGGCTGTTCACCGTTCCCGAGATTTTCGGCTGGTAGGTTCAGCAAGTAGTTGCTGGTTCGCCAAACTTTGTCGAAGCATTCACGTCGCAGTTGTGACTTCTAAGTCTGGAGAAACTGAGGCTGTGCACCCAGAGTCTCAGATATCTGACGAACTCCCCACCATTTCAAGACTCATCAGCCCAGGGATTTATTTCAGAAAGTGCACTTTTGCCCGCTTGTACCCGGGATTGAATTTTTTCAGTTGTGGCCGACGACTCATGGCCTTTTGTGAGCACCGGGAGGAAGATCGATATGAACATGGAGAACTTTTTCTTCGGAATCACCTCTGCGCTATCCACAGCAGTTCAGGCTAGTTCACGCAGAATGCCACTGTCTGCTCAGATCCACCGGTAGATCCCTTCCTTATAACCCCTAGCTACTTGAACTTCTCCACCTGGACCACTGCTATCCATTTATCTGAAGAGATAAAGTTGGCAGGAGAACAAGAAAGCACTATGTTTTTCGATTTAGATACGTTCCTTTCGTCTGCAAAGAGCAACCTCGTTTCCTTATGACCTACAGCGATACTCTCGTTGCACTGGCTGCGCCTGACTTCTATCCATGTACAACACAAATAGGCTAGGGGACAGAACATAAGCCTTGGGGAGATTCGTGCCCAGGCTGAAAACTCTCGACTTGCGCTTTTTACACTAACGCAGCATCTGCTATCGGCATATAGTGAATGAATGGCCGCAGCAGCTGGCCATCTATCCCATACGTTCACACGTTCGCCCGTAACTTGTTGCGCTGGATCTTGTCCTAAGCTATCACCAGGTCTATAGAGCACACGTAAACCGAGTAAGCAAA